ACGTCCCCTAAAAACTGCACACGTGAAACTCTTGGTCGTAAAATAAACTTAAGATTAGGTTATTTCAAAGATGTATATATCTAATTGAAAAAAAAAAAGTTTTTAAAAGGTAGATGATAGTTAATTATAATATATTTTAATTCATCAATGTTCAGTGATGAATCACGTTCAAGAGCTAGATTCATTCTAAAGAAGGTTCTGAAACAATAATAACCAGTGACCTTGAAGGTGGAAAATCAATTCAACCACTTAACGTGTGTTATTATATTATAAATAAAGAAGAAATCACTTCGTCAGTTAGAATTATACAGAACACTGGTGCGCTCATATCATTATACATCTCTTGAAGTCAGGTTGTAATTACTGTCACTGGCTTGAAACTGCTTTTATTTAGGGTTCATCATTTTTATCAATGGAGGACCTGGAATGATCCGAACATCTCGACTGCTCTCAGCTGTTTATGAGTCATCTTGAAAACTGCTCGCATCCTTTTTTTTTTTTTTTACGTCACGTAAATCAAAAGCATTTAGTTTAAAAAAACAACAACTTTTGATTCCAAATTTAGACCCAGACCAAATTCAGTCACAAGGAGGAAGATATTTTTGAACCTTTTTAATCTGAAACAGTGACTCATGTGTTTTCAGATATCTGAGCGATGTTAATGCGTCTCCGGTGCTTTTTGAATTTTTCCACTGACCTCTCCTCTCTCTGCTGTGTCACCATCTGTGTCCCGAGATGAGTCTGAGCAGAACCCGCTGGCTGCTCCTCCTCCTCCTCCTCTTCCTCCTCCTCCGCCTCCTCCTCCGGCCAAGGCCCAGAGCAGTGGGGGGGCTGGAACCATGTGGACACCGGTGGGCGTGTCGCGGCGCTGAGAAGAAGAAGAAAACAACAGAGTGATGATGTACTTGACGAGTGACACTGAGTGAATGTTCAAGTTTTCATTCTTTGAGAGCTCAAATCTATAAATACACACGATCTACTGATGATACTGAAGATGAATCGACGCCTGTGACAGGAAACGATCACATCCCATGTCCGAGTAAAAGACTTCAGTCGTATGACGTCTCTCTGGAAGCTATTTTAGAACATGACATATATGTGACTCGTGTTTTCAATCAATGGGGTCTGAAGAAAGCTGCCTTTTCAGTCATGCAATGAATTCTGGGTATTCCCCTGAGGGGCTGCATCGCTCCAGACATTATCCAGAACTTTTCCTGCCGGTAAGAAAACTCTGGAGAATTTCTGCATCACAAACCCCGAAGATGTGTTTCTTTGACAATATAACAGCAATGATTAAAATCCACCATCTTTAAGTTTTTAAAAACCTTCATCTACAAACACTCAAAAAGCTCAGCAGCAAAAAGAAAAGGCCGATAATCCAGATTGTTCATTTATATCTTGATCTCTACAAACAACTAAAACGTGGAAATCTCTCCGGTGAAATAATAACTTTGGGAAATGAAAGTTCAACCTATTGTTTGTAGTAATTAGAAAATGAAGGAAGCATTGAAAAGAGATTAAACGTCCATAAGAGTCACAATATAAAGTTGAAGCAGGAATTTAAAAAGAGAAATAGAAGTTTAAATATTTCAGCATTATGTGTAAATGCAACATGAAACACCAGCTGTTGTTTGAATGATGTTATCACGAAATCAAAACAGCACTTTCCACAAAACTAAAACTTATATGAGACAGTCCTCGATTTATTCATTAAGATATATATATATATATTTAGTTCTGAAGAGGCAGCACTGACCCCTGCTGGGTGAATCACAGTCAAACTTAGTGAAGACTTAAATTAGAATTAAGTTTTAAATGAACCGGGTTTAACCACACAAACTAGTTTCATGGAGACATTAGTTGTTAATAAACTACGTCATGTTCATTCATACGACAACACAAACATGTAGCTTCACAAACCAGGATCAGAAGAACACACGCAATAAATACTGTGCAGGTTTAAAATGTACGAATATATAAAATGATAAATAATTAAAAACGAGGCATAAAATGAAACTCTAGAAATAATAAAAAGACAAAGTTTAACTATCACAACACTACAAATGAAGGTTACTTCAAATTAAAAGTCCTGGATTTAAACAGGATTGGAACCAATAATTTGAGTGATATCTGAACTATGAAAAGGTACGACAGTGACGTTGCTAAATGAGTTATAATTTTAATATACATTTTAAATTCCCTTCAAACTCAGATTTAAACAATAAATTCAGACTTAAATATATAAAAGATAAATCTGCTGAGCCTCTAAAAGTAATTTACACGATATCCACATCACTTAACACTGAATTTTATTGAACTGTCTAAGTTTTAAAGATGCAACGTGACTGAGTAAAGAGAATAATTCAATATTCAGTAAATCAGAAGAAAAACTGAGTTCGCAGACTTACTGAGTGTCCAGGGACGAGTCCCGAAACAGGAAGTGAAGTCCAAACAAACAAATCCACAGGTGAGGAAGTCAGAGAAACACGTGTTGTAGGACACATGTGTGTAGAAGACATGTAGGACACATGTGTGTAGAAGACATGTAGGACACATGTGTGTAGAAGACATAAAGTTTGTATTGAACTGATTTAACGTCGAGTCTGAATCAACAGCTGGTGATGACGTCTGACCGGAAACCGACATTACAGCTGAGAGCCTGAACTGGCGGGAAATAACCCGCAGACAGGAAGTAAAGTCACACACCGGACGAATTAGAACGGTCATTTCAAAATAAAACAGGAAACAGAAAGATAAAAGCAGAACATTTACAAGAAGGAAGAAATCATGACTTTAGGTAAATATATATTTTATACAACACACAGTTCCTGTATATGTTCTCATTTATGTTTTCTACTTTAAAAAAAAGTCATTAAACTTTATTTACAAACCCCCGGTCATGACAAAATCACATTTACTGGAATTATGAGGGACTTTAACTTTACACATTTAACAAAAAGCTAGTTCAACCTTAATCCAGTGAATATTTTCACATGACTATGCAATATTTAATCTATATTGTTTATTATGGCCCATCAATTCGGGGTTGGGCACCAATATCATCAATATACAGGTGAGAATTAACTGATTAAGTAGTAAGTGATGCATTAAAAACATTACATCTATCTAAAGAAACACAGGACAAGCAGTTGAATTCACCATTTATTGTCTATAGTTACATGCATACTTGCTAACAGTTGCTTTTAATGTGCAATACACAGTTTTATGTTGCTTCGTTGTCTAGGTTATATTACTCCAAATGTATTTTTTTACTTTACAGGCTGCCTTTACCAAAAGTCTATACAACATGATTCATTTCTCACATTTTCAACACAATGACGTTTCTTCACAAGTAGCCATAGATACATAAGGTATAGAGGGTTTGACATCTCTGCCTTTGGTGCCTCAGGTTTCTGTTTTTTAAGAATGTTTAATAATGATTTGCTGCTTTTTGTCTCCCAGGTTTGGTAACTGTGGTTTTCCAGTTTCTGAGATATGGCAAGGACCAGAGTTTTATCAGCACGATCGACGACACGAACGTGTTTCACAGTCACAGCTCTACATTCTAGGACACTTAAAGGCCATGGAGTGCTCTGATCCAAAAAATGCTGGCTTTATTTTTAGCACTGAGTATATCTGTGTCTCTTGCATAACAACAAAACCACGAGAACAGTCATACCTGGATTGTGTTTTCTCCAGATTTTGAGTTTCAGCTTGAACCCATTTTTCTGGCTTCTCCAGGTCTCGAGCACATCCACATTTTAGCTGTTTAATAGGTGCTCTTTTTCAAACGTCTATAAATGCAGGTGTTGGCACAGTTTCCTTAAACAATCAGCGAGAACCAACCAGGAGCTTATCGACATGTCCGTGCTGTGATAAATATTCTTTAATCAGCGTGCAGCTGCTGAGTGAGACGTTCATTTAACTACCGTGTGGTTTTATATACAGAAAACAAAATAACTACCTTCAAGACCCTTCAGCTTCTTGACATTTTCTGCAATAAACCAAATATGGTGAGAACAACTATGCACTAAAAACAGTTTCAGATGTTTGATATATTCATCTGCTCTCTCTTAGTCGTTATGATCTATGAGCTCAATTAGCCAATAAGCAATAATCTGCCAATTCAAATCCAACATTTTTTATCTTAACTCCAGGAGGTAAGACGTGTCGACCATCTTTATATAGAGTTTATATTATATATATATAGAATTTAGAAAATAGGTGACATGGGGGTTTAAGGTGCAGAACAGTGTGACTGTGTTCTAGAAACTGTTTAAAGTGCATGTTTTACTCAAGTAAACACGAATGGACGAATAAAAACAACATGAAACAGCATCTGTTGTTAACATGTTTCATATTAAAAGACAAATCCACGTCTCACTGTCGAACAGCACTACACTTCCCAGAATGCTTTGCCTTTAAGCTGTGGCACTACATGAGCTGAGCAGAAATCGCCGACGCTCTGTTTGTAAAACTGAAACGAGTGGGACATGTAGAAACAGAGTTAAACGCTGTCTGATCCATGTGATTGTGGGATGTTTGCTTTGGCTCGAGATTAGATTCATAAATCACCTGGAACCTGGAAAAGAAAAAGTTGGAATCATCCTTTAACTGCTCTCTCACCTTTGACAGTAGAAAAACCCTCAAATAAAGCAAAGTGAACAACTCACCGCAGCACGTTTCAAAAATAAAAACCACATTATAAAAACACTACAGTCCAATCAGCTCATACTGAGGTTTAGTCAAACCTATACTGAAAAGAGAGAAGATAATATACTGTATATTACTGTTGCAAAGTCTCTTATACGGATGAATTCATAGTCCGGGGCTGCGTTCACAAAGCCTCGCGTCAAAGAGCGGACGCGACCTCTGACCCCGGACCGGGGTGGCGAGCTTTGCGAGTGTGGAAGCGTTTATATACGACCAATACCACAGCAAACAGTCACTGGCTGAAATGTTAACTACGAAAGACCCAAATTAAAAAGTACTCAACTCATTTTATTATCAGGCGCAGCCCTGCGGAGCGGAGTCGTCCGCCCATAAACTTCTTTTCCCTGATTATCAACGACTTGTCTCATAGATTCTTTCTCAACATTTGGCAGATAGGTTAATCGCACTATAATTATTCTTGTGCTACACCATGTGTTTTGTAAACACTTTCCTCCCGTCGACACTTTAAGAGCCGGTGATATTGCTAATAACTATAAATTTAAATATGAATCCAGGGAGTTTGCTTTTCACAGCTGAGAGTTGGTGGACAGAGATGAGCGGACGGGGGCGGCAGGGTGTTGAAATGTAAGTGTGTGTTTATTGTGCCGTACACTCCGGGTGGTGAGACACACGAAGAATAGGTGTCGTCAGGGGCAACCAGGCGAGCTGAAGTTACCGACCTGTTGCTGTGTTAATGTTCAGAGGGGCTGGAGTATGTGTGTGAATGTTTGTATTCATCTTTTTACTGTTAATGATTAACGAACCCCTTCGTCACCACCTCGGTGTCCCCCCCCCCCCCCCCCCCCCGGCCCCTTCAGGTTCCCCCTCGTCATCACCACCACCACCCACCGAGCTCCCGACTTTCTTAAGACTTTAGTCAGACCACTCATTCTCGTCGAGCTCGGAGTCGTCGTCAGACTCGCTGTACTCCACCGCGATACGGCGTGACAGGATGGTGGCCACGTCGTTACCCACGGGTTCTCGCTTCGCCTCCTGCTCCCTCTGCTCCTGCACCTTTCTCAGCTGGATACCTGGAGTGGAGGGAGGGAGGGAGAGAGGGAGGGAGTGGGGAGAGAGGGAGGGAGTGGGGAGAGAGGGAGGGAGGGAGGACGAGCAGATGAAATATGAAATTCTTTATTTATTTGATGCCAAACAAAACCTCACGTCTAACTTAAATAAACCTCTTACACACTTACCTCTACGTATGGCGGCCAGCAGGTCGGAGCGGGCATCGCTCATCGGGATCATCCCCGGCAAGGCTGACTTCCTCGCCTGTGCTGCCGCATCCAAGGCGGACTGGCCCACAGCGGCGTGCGGAGGGGACGGGTGGGCCTGGTGGCCGGTGAGGGCTCCTGGCGGCGGGGGCGGAGGGGCGGCAGGGGGAGCGCCCGAAGGAGGGTGGGAGGGAGACGGCACGTAGTTGGCCGGGGGAGGAGGAGGGGATGGGGAGTAGGGGCGGGAGAGGGCGGCGGAGGTCGGGGGGACAGCGGAGGCGGCAGCGGCGCAGGGCGGGGCCGTGGTGGAGTCGAAGGCCGTCTGGGCGGAGGGGATGGTGGGAGGTGGCGGCGGAGGGGCAGGTGGGATGTAGTACTCTGGGATGGTGGAGGGCTGACCGCTGAGGGAGGAGAGAGAGAGGGACAAAATGAATTCCACATGTTAATACCATTAATATTGATTGTGGTTATAAGATCAACAATAAGAAGTTTGATTGGCAGACGTACCCTTGCGCAGCTCGGTAATCCTTAACCGACTGCTGCCTCGGCCCGTTAACCGTTGGATCTCCGCCAGCCTGGACGCCGTGTCCTGAAGGGGTCCTGCCCAAGGAGGCCGCGTGCCTCCCCGCCGCCGCGGCACCTCCAGCCCCCGGGGGCTGGTTGGCCGGCCTGAGGCCCCGATCCAGCGACTGAGTCTGGGCTGCGGCGCTGAGGTGGTCCCTGGCGTGGTGGTCCATGGGGTGGGCGGCGCTGGGGGCCTGGGTGGAGGGGTGGTTGGGGCTCGCTGGGTAGGAGTCAGACGCCATTGATCTGTTGAAGGGAATAGATAGTGGAGTAAATCTTTGTCTTTCCTTTTTTTGCATTCTTTACTTCAGATAAACGTCTGGTGTCGACGTCACTCTGTATAAATTGATAAATAAATATATTTTCATTAATTTCCACAAACTCTATAATGATTCATTTCCCACCTACATCCTTACAGTTTGGTTTTCTATTCTTGTTATGCTGCAGTTACAGTTTCTCCTTCAGGTGTGGATGTGTAATAAAAGTGAAATTCATATTATGTATTTATTCGTGTGCTCCTACTTGCCTTCTCCAGGAGAGGGCAGCACAGAGCTTCAAACAATCCAGCCACTAGTGTAAATATGTCTCAAACAGTATGACAGTGAGTTGTGCAGCAGGACGTGCACACGAGAAACTGTTTACATCTTTTTCACTTGTGTGAGTTAATTTTTTATACCAACTATTGAAACAATCGTAACAGTGACACGTGCATGTGTGTGTGTTTTCGTTCTTCTATTATCCCCTGTGAAGCTTCCAAACATAAAAACAGTCATGTGCATGTAGGAGTGTTGTCAGGAGGCGACAGCTCCTCGGAGGAAAAACCTCACACACATAGAAACGGTGTGAGTGTGTGTGTGTGTGTGTGTGTGTGTATACCTGCTGTCAGGGGACAGGGAGCCTTCGGACGACATGCCGTGGTACGGGGAGGGCGTGAGCCTCGCGTCTGGTCTGAACTCTTTGTCGTAGGCCAGGACGTTCCACTCCTGACGCCGGTTACGAGCCTTACGCACCTTCAAAGAAACAGCAAGTTACTTCAATGTTTTCATCCACAAATCACGTCTCTCTCTGTCGGGTAATAACACAGACATTCGTGTGTACATCGCTACGGACCTTCTTGACCTCTCGGCCCGGGTCCTCCACCTGCCTCTGCTGCTCCTGGAACAGGGACGGACAGGAAGAGACAAACAGAGATGAGACGAGTGGAGAGAAACACGCAGCCATCGATTATTGATTCCTCTGGTGCAGAGGGGAAATAAAAAAAGCAGGACCCTGCCACCAGCTCCTTCACCACGGGGTAAAAGTCACACACACACACACATACACTAGTCTACTCACCAACCCAACCACTACTAGGTAACACCGACTAACGCTACACAATGGACGACAAGGGAGGAAGCGAGAACGAACAAAGCAAACACAGAGGGTGAGGCAAGCTAACGCAACGTGACACACATGGACACAAACAAAGGGGAGTGTGTGTATGTGTGTCTGTTATTGTTCAAATGACCAGTGACTTGTGGCATGTTTGTGTGTTTGTGTCTTACCTGCGTCCTGGTGAGTGAGTAATGTGTATTAGTGGGGTGTGCGGGGGTGGGGGGGGTGGGGGGTAAAGTGTAGGGCGATATGGGGCAGGTTAGGGGTCGGGGTTGTCTTACAGAGATGGACAGGGGACTCCTGGGTGGGGCCTGTCTGGAGTGGGGCCTGTCAGGGTGGGCCGGACAGCCCTATGGAAACATGGGAGAAAAACAAGCTGGAGCATTAGACTGAGCAGAGGAGGAGGAAGAGGAGGAAGAGGAGGAGGAGGACGGTGTGTGAAGGCCAGGTAACACTATAGATAAATCAGAGAAAGGAAGCAGAAAGACAAAGGTAGAGACGGAGAGGTTTGTCCTCTTGTCCCCTTTTCAAGAGTGAAAACTACTCCTTTTTTTTTTCAGAGGGGTTTTATTCTATCGTTTCCAGGTTGAAGGAGGAGGGAACAGAAAAATATGAGCAGCGTTAAATAGAACAGAAACACTGACGGAGTGCTGCGAACACATACAGCAGCAGCTGTTCGGGGGGGGGGGGGCTGAAAAATGAGAGCCAATGGAGACAAGTGTGTGACTTTGAATCAAAGGGGAATACTTAATACTCCATGCTGGGATATTATATATGTATTTGTACGTTAGCGTAACTGCTCATGGCTCATTTCATTAACGCGATGAACGTTTGACATTAACGCCCCTCTTTTCTGTGTTGATGACCCCGCCCACCTGCTGCTGTATCAATAACCAATTACAACAACAACCACAAAGCGAAGCTACGTGAGAACGGTAATAGGAATGCAACAAAAATTAAATAACGGCATAAAAACACACAACCAGCTAGGAAATAAAAACAGATTAGCAAATTAAAGCAGGAGATGCATTTCTTTAAACCTGTCCTCTTCATTCTCTCACACACCCGAAGCAAAAAGACAGAGACACGAACTTGTAATCTTATACGTACTGGCTGTGTATTTAACAGAACAAACACATGCGCACAACCGCACCTTCTGCCGTCGCTTCTCCTTGCGTTTGTCCTCGGTGGCCTGCAGCATCTTCTCTTTCCACAGGTTGAAGAAGTAAGAGGGGTCGGTGTAGAACTTCAGCGCGTCCTTCTTGTCGTCTCTACGTAGAGGAATAGAAAAAGACGGATTCGATTATCTGTGAGCCCAAATGAACATTTGTACCAAAATTTGAAAGAGTTCCCTGAAGGCGTTCGCAATCTTTCACGGCGGCCTTGACCACCGGCTGACCCGCTGACCTGTACGGGCTGAGGATGTTCAGCGGTGGAGGTTTGTCACAGCGGTGGTAGATCTCCACCACAGGGTTGGGGACAGAGGTCCTGGACACCACCTGCTGGTCCTGGATGGTGCTGCTCTTAAAGGCCTTCCTCATGTTGATGTCCTGCAGAGAAACTGGAGGAAGAGGAGGAAGAACTGAATGAGTTTATTAATTAACTATTTTAAACCACTAGTTAAACTACGAGGGTTTAAAGATTCTGTGGACGGACATTCTGTATTATGGTTTTAGTTTTTCTATATGTAGAAAGACACGTGTCGGCCATTACAGTGTTTGGGCTTCCTAGCCCGAGCGCCACGTCAGAGGAAAATGGCCGCTGTGTTAACAGGGTTAATGAGGTTGAAGGCAGACGTGAATGAATGCGTTTCAGGTTATATTTGTGATTGAGTCCAACCAGACACAGGCTGTGGACTCTGGATGAGAAGATGATTCCTCGGAGAAGAGGACGGACAGAAAAGCTCCGTCACCCACTGATGTCTTATTGATTTTTTTTTGAACAGTCAGAGGAGTGAGATTGTATAAAGCACGAACAGGACGAGGAGTAACGAGAGGCGATAAGTGGGACGGTGCAAGCCTGAGTGTAGAATATAAAATAAAGACAGCTTAAATACTGTACACACACACACACACACACACACACAGAGACATATACACACACAGACACACACGCTGAGTAGGTGATAATAGGACAGCAGGGACAGATTAGTCTTAGAGCTTGTTGCATCAGCTTTACACACACACACACACACATACACACACACGCAGCATGTAGGGCTGTGTGACAATGTGATTTGTACACATGTGACAGTGTGTGTGTGTGTGTGTGTGTGTGTCGGAGGCAGAAAGAGAGAGTGAGTGAGAGACGGAGAAAATACGACATGTATGTGTGTCAATCCCTTAACCCCAGAAGAGATTTAACACGACTGCAATGCTATCCAGGATCTACCAGATGGCTACACACACACACACACACACACACACACACACACACACACA